TGGAATTCCCGCCCTCCAAGTGGGAGATGATAGTTCAATTCCCAACCAGTGAACCTCTGCTCAGACATCACCTGTCGGTCAGTGGGGAGTTGTGTGTTACTAGGATGCTGAATAGGTTTCAGTGGAGCTTCCAGATTAAGACAGACTAGAAAGAAAGTATTGTCGATTGACTTACAAAAATCATCCAGTGGAATCCCTGTGGATCCCAACTGTCTGATGCGCAACCAATCGTAGGGATGGCATGGGACCAAACAGTGTTTCGTTCTATTGTGCGTGAGGTTGTCATGAGTTGGGGGCCAACTTGAGGGCAGCTAATGACAACAACATCACAGAAGAGGAGAGTATTCCTTTGTGTCTGAGATGTCTCTGAGATGGGTTGGTGGGAATGTCGAATGGCTACCTGGACCCATGAGGCCAGAGCTAAGGAGAGGAAAGAGCAAGCGCTTCGAACGTAGGGATTATCAGAGGAACAAGTCCTTTCTCAGCCTTCCTGGCCATGGATGAGGCCACTGGGGAGCGAGTCTGCAGAGAGAGATGGTTAAGCACCAGGCACCAGGATCCCACTTCAACAGGGGAGAGGACGTGGACAGTGGGTGGGAAGGACTCTTGTGAATGAGGGACTCCAGGAGGAAGGAAAGAGACATTGATGAATCAATGGGTCTAGGATTTGAGCATCTGGAGAATTTAAGGCCTTGGTCATGTGGATGAGGGGTTTTGGTGGAGCAGTGATACAGAAGCTCAACTAGAGAAAGCCAAAGGTGGGTGCTGAGGTAAAGAGGAAATGGCTGTGGGCAATACTGTGACATTTTGCAAACACACAGGGAGCAGGGAAATCAGTTAAAGTTCAGGGAGAGATGTGGGGTCTTGTTGTTGTTATGTGCTGTCGAGTCGGCCCCGACTCATAGCGACCCCTCCTTGGGTTTCCGAGGCAGTATCACTACAGAAGTAGGATTGCCCAACCTTCCTTCCGAGGAGTGGCTGGTGGGTTTGAACCGCCAGCCTTCTGGTTAGCAGTCAAGTGCTTTTAGCCACTATGCTACCAGAGCTCCTAGGAAAGCTTATTTCAGGGCAATAAGAGAACGATTTATACACTGATGGGTGTGTGACTCAGGGAGATGGGACAACAGATGATACAAAATGCAGAGGCAGAACTGTACTGGAAGGTGAACGGTGCCAGGTCTCTGGGGAAGGTTTGTGAGGGCCTGGTTGTAATGCTGGGCCTGAGACCCAAGCTCAGGGAGGAGAAAAGGGGGGACTTGAGGCAATGGGAGGAAGAGGTCAATGGGTCTGAGTGAATGAAGTATCATGGCAGTATGTATGGTGATGCAGGGCGTGGTGTCCAGAGGAAGGGTTAATCTGAACAGAGATAATGAAGGTCATGACGATCGATGGTGACCTGGAGGATGGGTGGCTGAGGTGAGAGAAAAAGGTCGTTGGTTTTGAGGAAGACCAGAACTCGAGAGGCCAGAGGGCACCCAGGGTGTGTGGCTTGCTGAATTGACTGGGGAAGGGAAGAGAGCAACCCCAAAGGTAAGCCCTCTGTGAATGAACAGGAGGACGGCCAGTCACACGGGGTATGTGGTGGGAGGTAGCTGATGTTGCCTCAAAGGAGGGACCATATGTGTGCCTTGGGTTGGGGAGAAGGGAGAACTGTGAGGAAGGGGCATGTCCTGGTCTTCACTGGCTAAGGTGGGCGGCATCAGAAGATGGACGTCACTGCTCACAGATGAAAGTTCCTAAGGACACCATAGAAGAGTTGGGCGGGAGTGGGAGCTGTCAGGGAAGGTTGACTAGAAGGCTTACCTATCCTCTGGAAGCAACTGGGGGTTCATAGGGTTGCCAGGGGATTGGCCTAAGGTCTCTACTCCACCAATGAAGGGCTGGAGGCATTCGTTCCTGCCTTCTAGGTAGGCTCCCCACAGCATTCGACTGGGCGAGGCCAGGGGCGACCTCCACATGCCATCTGGTGGTACCTGATGCACAAATCATACATGCAGGGAGTCGTGGGCTCGCAAGGGCACTTCACTCCCCTTCATGCATCACCTGGTTCTACCTGTTTTGTTGGACTTAGTCATCTCCATTTCTGGAATGGGTCATCCTTTGCCTGGATAGTACCTCCTCCGTGAAGTCTCTCTTGATTTCCTTCATCAGAGACAATCACTGGAGCATCTCCCACTGCCCTTGCCTCTCTGCATTATGGTTGCCTGGTCATTGTCTGCCACCCCAAAAGGCTGCAGTTTTTGCTGGGTGGCTCTGCTGTCCAGCACAGGGCCTGACACACGCTGGCAGCTTTTGGAGTCTTCTGCAGTTCCTACTTTGTCCATGAGATGGCATAAAATACCTGTGGCTGAGCCACGTGGTCCTAGGATCCTTGGGGTCTGTTTCCATCTATACCCTGCAAGCTGGGACCTTTAGAGAGCATCCTCACACCCTTCCCAGACTAAGAAACTGAGGTCTAGAGAGGAAGAGGACCTGCCTGAGGCCATACAACAAGCCAACAATAGAGTATAGCTCTCAGCTCCTGCTGCAGGCTGTTTCCCACACCCTGCCCAGAGGACCAGGGCTTGCCTTGCAGCTCCAGCTGGGGGCCTTGCTAAGCTGAGACCTCCCCAGAGTTGGTTGACAGGCTGAGGAGTGGTTGGGCTTCCTGCCCACAGCTGGTGGCCACATGCTGGCTATGTGGCTGTCCCGCTCAATTTCCACCCAGAAGTTGGTACCCAGCCCAGGGCTACATGCCAAACATCTCTCTTGGGGAAACTGAGGCAGAGGGTCCTCACCCTATCCTGGGTCCAAGATATAATTGCCATCATAGCAGTCCATGCACAAGCACCAATCACCAGTTTTTAAAGCCCTGTCACACCCAAGGTGGCTGCTCTCTGGTCCTGGAAGGAGGAGTCTGAGCCCTAAAGAGGGAAGAGCTTTCACCAGGATTCTCCAGCAGAGCCAGAGGCAGGGGTGGGCTAAGTCCAGCCCCTTACCCACTCCCGGGTCAGAGCTCTTCTGGGAGGAGTGTATATGCCAAGGAGAAATGGGGACGGGGAGGCAGGGCTCCAGGTTTCTGAGCCCTTCTCATACTGCCTCCAGGATTGGCTGGTTTCCAGAGATGAGGAAGGGAGAAGTAGGGCTCTAATGACCCCTTTAAGCCCCAGAAGCCAAGGAGGGGAAGGGTCAGGCCTGAGCTGGGTCTATTCTCAGCCCACAGTGGCCTAGGCCAGTTCCTTCCTTCTAAGTATTTTCCCCGCCGCCCCCC